TTTTCCAAAAACACTCATCACCTTTTCACACACTATTTACTTCACACGCTTACTTATTTTATGTATTGTCCATCTCCTCCACTAGAATGTAAACTCCTTAAGAGCAGGGCTTTTTGTTCATTGTTGCATCTCCAGTATCTGGAAAATTGCCTGACTATAATAGGTACCTTAATGTACTTGTTCAGCAAGTAAATGAGAAGAAGGTTATAGAGGAGAAGGCAGGACAGACTGGGAAATGCATTTAGTCACTTTTGGTAGTAGAGACATTTCTGGCGCCAAGTGGCTCCAAAGGCAAGTTTTATTTTCTATTAAAGCTTAGTTCAAAACCAAGTTTTGGCAGCAAATTTCTATACACTTCTATCTTTTATTTAATTTGGAAATCTTACATTTAATGGCTTACTTCCTTTGGTACACTTTATCAACACATCTCTCCACTAGCATGCCACAGCCTTCCAAGGCACATACCTTAATATCCATGAATTAGTAATTCCTTAACAATATCTCCTTTACCAATGCATTTTGAGGGGTGATGAGCAATCCAGATCTACTATTCCACTCTGGACTGGGAAAACTACATTGCTAGTTTTGAGGGTGAGGTTTCAGTGATTCTGTTCAGACTGACTTGCCTAAAAGCAACAGGGCTAGAGCGTAGGGATGCTGAGGGAGGGATCTTGTATGGAAATTCTTACTTCATGAAAGATATAAGTACCTATCTATGTCAAGGACAACAGAGGAATGCTGATATTCTACCCACTGACTGAATCTTGATACTCAGAGTAGACTTTTTAGTCATCCTTCAAGGAGAAATTCCTTCACTTAAGGAAGTGAGATACTCCTAGCAAGTCATTTGGAACATATAATCTGTTGAGTAAAAAAACCAAATGGATAAATAGGGAATGCAGAAGGATGTAAGCCCCAATTTCAAGTCTGTTTCACTAAAATCAAATTATAAAAAGGTTCCCTGATGCAGGGGTACAGGGTGTTCAACCAACAGAGTCTTCATGTCCCTGAATACTTCTTAACTTCTTTGGGTCTCAGTGTTCTTAACTATAACACGAGGTCCCTAACTCAAGTTGTCTCAAAATTCCCAAAAGCTGGGAAGCAAGTAACTTTACTACACAAGCAGTGTTCTTTCAAAATCCCTTTAAAACAAAAGAAGCTGTCTACTGTTCAGCTTCTTTAGGGCACCATTCTGTTCATCAGCATCTTTTCTGTTGACCACTTATGCCCTCTAGTGATAAACTTAATTATACAACAGAATTGGCTTGGCAAACAGTCTGCTCCAGAGGAGTAAATGGGGGAAAACAGCAAGAATGCAGTAGATAAACTCAGTGTTAAGCAAAAGAAAGGCAGGCCAAAGAGGTAGGTAAAAAAAGATGGAAAGATGCCAAATGGCCATCACTTTCTGCAGTGTGCCAACGACTGTGCCTTCCAGAACAAACATTCAGTGCAATTACCTCTAGTAAAGAATACAAACACAGTCCTGAATATGTAATTTTTTTCACGTATCACTGGAATACCCTTCTTCCTCACATTAAGATCTAGATATAGTTTCTTTTTTCACTTAGCGAGATAATGGATATATTAAGACTTCTGGGAAATATCTACTACATACCTATGTGAATAATTAACAGATGTGCTCTAAACACACCTGTCAAGGAGGTGCTAAGACATTATATATCCATTGCCAGTCTCATCTGTCCATGGATTTTCCAATGGAAATGGGTTCTGACTAAAACTATGTAGTATGCCGGGCTTAAGCAAAATCCCCAGCCTTCTAAGTATCATTCCTTGGTGTCCCTACCATAAAAATGCACGACTGGTCTTTCTCTTAACATGTAATTGATAACAAATATCAGGGCCCTTCCTGGCAATAAATCTTACCTGTGTATAAGTGCTGGTTACATTTTTCTAGCATGGGTACACAAAAAGAAGAAATGGATTTCAACAATACCAACTGGGATTTAGGTTAAACAATAGAAAGGTCTTCTTAACCATGCTGTTGTTACTGATACATGGGTGAGAGGTCAAAGAATCTTCTTCTGAAATCTTTAAAAGGAGGAGACAAAATCTGTACTTAATTCTAACCCTGACTGGAACACAAGATAGGGATAATAACTAGTAAAGTTTCCTTTCTACTCCTAAAATGAAATATGACTGTATGTTTCATATATATGAAATGCAAGGACAGGCAATACTAATCCATGGTGATAGAAATCAGAAGAGTGGTTGCCTCTTGGGACAGGGAAGGGAGCATGAGGGAACTTTTCAAGGTGATGGAAAAGTTCTATATCTTAATTCGAGTGGTCTTTACATTGGTGTATACAACTGTCAAAACTCATCAAATAGTACACTTAAGTTCTGTGCAGTTTATTGATTGTGAATTATATCTCAAATATATATATATTTGAAATATATATTATATATATGCCAGTCTTGGGAAGAATTAATATTAATTTTAATTAATTTACAATTAATTTATAATTAAAAGTATTTTATAATAATATCGTATAATATTTATATTAATTTAATATTATTAATTTTAATTAAATATATAATATATAATATACTATATATAATATATGTATATAATATATACTATATATATATATATATATATATATATATATATATATATGCGCCATAGTCTTGGGAAGAATTACCTTTAAAGAAAAACCTTTAAAAATAATAGATTCTGCCACACTTCAGGAATAGGCTAAGAAAGAGAAGGGTGCTGTCATGACCTCAATAGCATATATAGTTTCACTGAACCAGAAACCAAGAAAAGAAGGAACCACCCTGCCTTCTCAGCAGTATCCATGCTGATTAGCTAACAGTGCCATTTCAACAGAATGCCCCCTCCTTTGGCTGGCTCAATTCCACTGCCTGATGGAAAGACACGGAAGTTGGGGAGAAAGAATGGTCCTAAGATATTACTGATCGCCTTGAAGTAGAATTGCAGCAATTTACACTGGGCCATGGCCAGGCCTATTGCTCTGTGGATCCATATGATGATAATGGCATCATGCCTGCTAGTGTTAGAAGAGAGTACTTGGGAGAAAAACAGTTAAGTGTGTTTTTTTCTTTTTCTTTTTTCTTCTTCAGTTAAGTAATGTTAAAGTTGTAACCCAATCTAATAGAAGCCAGACAAGACTAGGGCTGGGCTGGTTGTGCTCACCTGGGCTGGCCTACCTCCCCTCACACAGTCTGCAGCCCGAGGAGATGGTGGGGCCCAGATGGGTGTTTCATTGAAATAAACTTGAGTCATCAATCAAGCAAATGTATGCCTTTTAAAGGATTCCTCACCCTGCGCTGACTTGTCACCAGTCTTTCCTTCTACGTGGCTGGTGGGGATGCAGATGGGCCTGTACCAACTCTGGCTTGCCGGCATACATTCAAAGTGACCATTCTAGAGATAACAGACTATTTATTCTTCTCTAAGGATTCACATTGGAGTCGGCTTGACACATGGTAGACACTAGTAGATGCCTCAAGCAACTGGATGAGTGAAATGTTTCTCAGTCCGACAAATGACTTTCACGTCAAACCTCAGTAGTCTCTGCGATTCCTCACCAATCAGAAAATCCTTTCTAGAATTTTCAGTCAACTGTCCTAAAATGAAATCCTCTGGGAAGTACTGCATCAAGAATATCTTAGCTTTCCTTACCTGGTGCCCTATGTTAGGATTTTCCCATGCCAAGTGCTTTGGAAAGGTGGAGACACAGATTTTCACTGACAAAAGACATTGTGTCACAACAAAAGCCGTCCTTGTTGTTATTCCCTTTATGGATTTAAATGGCCTCTGTAACTCTCAAGGGATTACAGTCCATTGCAGTGCTCTATAATCTATTATGCAGATCCTCTCTTTAGGTATCTTATAATTCCCCAAAGCAACTTTCCTACATCCACTCTGTGTCTCCAAAAGCCTTTCCCAGCCCCCCTTGAAGAACTGAAGAATTACTGTTATTTGTGCATGCAAATAACACACACACGTATACACACACACACACACACACACACACACTCACACATCCTGCTCCAACAGAACCTCTTTTGTGCTATTTCCACCTGACACAGCTCATCTTTGTGAAGTCACCTAGCTTCAACCAAGAGTAGGCAATTCCCACCTGTGTCACCATTAGTCACCTGGGCATTGCTTTTTGGAAGGCCACTACTGACTGTTTTGGATCTTGACTAAGACATAGGCAGGTCAATGGCATAATATAGTATTTTTATCTCTTCTGCTAAGAATGAGTTAGTTGTCAATTTTCAGGATGGGTTATCAAATATATTCTGAGAACATACTTTCAACTAACTGTAGGGTACAAGAAGGCCATCTTTTTACATAATTTCCAATAAAAATGTACATATAGTCTCAATTCATTTAGTCAAAACCACATTCCTTCCTGAACAACAGTACTAATAAGGGAACCACCAACTTTCTGTCATGTTTGAGTGGCTTTCAGGAACCTGGAGTTTCAAGAAAGCTGGGCCCGGGCTATGCACCACAGAGAAAAGTTGGATGCTAGGCTGGAGTTGTAGAAGAGTCAAGGGTTTAATCTTATTTCAAAGTCAAATATAAGTAGCTTTTGGATTGTGTAATGTTTGCATTCTTCACATTTATGTTCCTTTCTATATATAAGCGTAGATCCATAAGAGAAATAGTATCACTCTTCAATTTTCTTCCAAAGATTTCCAAGTACTTTCTATAATCCAATAACATATTCACAGGAGAGAAAAAACAGACAGATCCTACAACTGTGTGAGATATCAGCAGAAGGCATAGAGAAATGCAGGAAACTTGCTCAAGAGCATGGGCATTGTTACAGCAATGGAGACAATACCACCAACCAACACCGGCCACATCTCTCAGAGCGATGTCTACCTCCAAACTCTCCCTCAATGCAAATCTGCACAGGGCCTGCTCTTTTCTATTAAAAGTGTATGCACATGAGAAAGGCTGAACCAAAAGGGACAGGCCTCACTGACTTGCCACTTACCAGTGCTGCTTTTACCTCTTCAGAGACGTCAGTTTCATCTTCCTAAAAAGGAAGGAGGGAGAAAAACAAGAGGACCATGGTCACAGACATCCTTGAAAGCAACAAGGTCAGCTCCCATCAATTATGCATCTTGGCATTTCAAACTTAGGCAATGAGAACTGACTGCCAAGTAACGCTCTGTTACTGCTGCTTTTAACAGCCGCCAAAGGCAGACAGCTTAGGAACATTGCCTGTCATTAAAAACATCAAATAAGCCATAGCTGGAAAAGGGGGGTCATTAAGAAAGACAGACTTTATTTCATCTCTGTCAATAGTTATCTGTTTGGTCCTATAAAAATGAGATACTTTTCGGGGTGCCTCGGTGGCTCAGTTGGTTAAGTGTGCGACTCTTGATTTCAGCTCAGGTCTTGATCTCATGGTCATGAGATCGAGCCTTGTGTCGGGCTCTGCGCTGACAGCACACAGCCTGTTTGATTCTCTTTCGCCTTCTCTCTCTCAAAATAAATAAAAAATAAATTTGAAAAGCTTTTTTTTTTTAAAAAAAAAAGAGATACTTTTACCTAAAAAATAGTTTCTAACAGATGACTATATACCGTCTCATTTCTTGTCTCACTGAATGGTTCATCTAACTTTCAAATGATCATTGGTATTCAGGGACCTCCTGATTATTGGTCACTTGAATTTTTAAAATGCCAATAACAGGGGTGCCTGGGTGGCTCACCTGGTTGATTTGCGCTCAGGTCATGATCTCACACTTCATGAGATCGAGCCTTGAGACAGGCTCTACACTGACAGCATGGAGCCTGCTTGGAATTCTCTCTCTCTCTCTGCCCTCCCCACTACCACCCTGCTTGCACACGCGTGATCTCTCTCTCTCTCTCTCTCCCAAAACAAATAAACAAACATTTTTAAAAATGCCAATAACAAAGCTGAGTGAGAAGGGTATAGAAGAGGGGCTCCTGGGTGGCTCAGTTGGTTAAACATCCAACTCTTGGTTTCGGCTCAGGTCATATCTCACGGTTCCTGGGTTCGAGCCCCACCTCAGGCTCCATGCTGACAGCATGAGGCCTGCTTGGGATTCTTTCTCCCTCTCTCTCTCTGTCCCCCCTTGTTCACTCACTCTCTCTCTTGCTCTCAAAATAAATTTTATTTATTTACTTTGAGAGACAGAGAGCGAGCAGGAGAGGGGCAGAGAGAGAGGGAGAGAGAGCATCCCAAGCAGGCTCCACACTGTCAGCACAGAGCCCAACATGGGGCTCAAGCTCATGAACCATGAGATGATGACCTGAGCCGACAGCAAGAGTCAGATGCTTAACTGCCTGAGCCACCCAGGTGCTCCTCAAAATTTTTTTAATAACTTCTCTTAAATAAATAAACTTAAAAAAAGAGAGAAGGGTATAGAACAAGAGGGCGAATTAAAGTACTGAATGTGTGTTTGCAGTTAGTAAGCACTGGTACATTTGTCTTTATTTTAAAGCCAAAGTTAATCTAGTTCATATTGTTTCTTTTCTCCTCCAAAAGAGTAAAATTGAGTCAGATGAACTTGTGTTACAAACAGATTTTAAGCTCCCTGAAATTCTTGTAATGCTCCTAAAGTATTTTGTTAGAGTCTCTGCTCATATGTGATATTAAGATATTGTTGTCTACCTGCATGACTTTTGGGCAATATTAGGGAGAACGGCTGATATTTGACAAGCTTATTCCCTTGTTATATTTGCTTACATGGTTGTTGTTGATTTTCAGTTTTTTTCATTCTTCACCAATTATTTACTGAGTGCCTACTATGTGCCTGGTACTACTGTTCTAGGCAGTGGGCATGCAGCCAAGAATACACCAAACGAGTCCCACACTAGGTGAGTCTTCTCTTTCCTCAGTAATGTGTCTTGATAATCTGCAAGATTTATGGGACCACATGAGGTTCTCTCTTTTTTAAAGTCAACATAAAGGACAACAGCCACGGGTGATGTGATATGTCGCAGCATGGACCAATCCACTCACATCCTTTGTCCAGAAATTGATGCCTGTGCCTCTTCGTCGTTCCTTGGGCCTCCTCCTCTCACGGATGGACAGTCTATTAGAGGACTGATCATCCACATCTGCATCTTCACTCTCTGGCCAGAGATAAAACAAAGTGTGATCTTAGGAATCTGGGGCAGGCACACTAGCAAGGAGCCTGCATATTCTGAAGCTCCACATACCATTTTTGTCCATTTCTTTTGCAACTGCAGTGTTTGTGGTGGTCTCTGAAGTCTCAGAGTCAGGGACTGAAGATCTGCTTGTCCGTAGCAGATGGGAACTGGTGTAGAGAGTGGGTCTTGATGCAGAAGGAGACACTGGTGTTGTGGGTTTGTCTGGCTGAGCTGAATACCTCAGGCGACGATAGACAGGCTGGAAATAATCCACAGGGTGAGATGTTAGAGGTCAAGTCCAACCAAATGATAAGGAGAGCAGGCTTCTTAAAGAAGGGCTTGTTTTCTATACCAAGACGCTTACTAACAGTAGATGCTCAATAAATAGCCACTGAGCTGAACTACAGTTAGTTAGTTAGCCAGAAAGGAAACAGCTTCTGGATTCTTATTCTGATAATACCATCATGTTGATCGCAGCCCAGCCAGGAAAATTTTTCCTAAATCGACCAAAGGGCACGAGGTAACACTAATCTTGTTAATAAAAATTCCTTTGATTTTGGAATGAAAATAAGAAGAATGGTGGCCTTTTCAAGATGGAGCACTGAAAGGCAAGGTTTTAGTAGAAAAATTAGAAGTTCAGGAATATGAAGAAACAATACAGTTACCTGAGAACAGAGACCAAATCTAAGCATTCTACAAATTTTTGAATATTCTACCAAACTGCCATAACAGGCTTACTGAAACTTAAAAAAATTCCCATTTTCCCCTTTGAACTTTTTTTCCCAACGAAAAAGACAGAGTCTGATAATAAGCCTTAACTTGGTTTATTACAGATGCACAGATAATTATTGCTACATGCAGAGATTGTATACTTTTTTGTTTATAAAGACAGAAGCAATAAAATATAGTAAGCTTTGGAATCCGACAGAACTTGGTTCAAATTCTAGCTTCAGCACTTACTAGCTGTGTGGCCTTGAATAAGTTACTTAACTTCTCTGAGCCTCAGGTTCCTCATATGTAAAAGAGGGACAATATCTTCCTTAGAGAGGTCTGTGAGGATTATATGAGATCATGTACGTTAGGTGCTTAGAACAGTAGCTAGTAATAAGTACTCAATAAACAAATAAACAGTAGCAGATAAAAAAAAGAAAAAAAACAAAATAACCTTAGTTAGTTGATATAGCTTCGCCATTCAGCAATGGACCAAGGGGATTCCTTTCTCCTCTACCTATGATAATGGTAAAATTTAACATCCCAATTGAGACACTTCTCAGAGTGAAGATGAATGGTATCGCTAATTACAGAGATAACAGGTGTAATATGAACCATCCGAGGTAAACCGGGAGGAGTTACGGTCACCCTAAACATAACCCTATTTGAGAAAGGGAACAGAAGTTAACATGTCTACCTCAATAGTGACATCTTGTGGCATGGGACTGAGTGGTGCTTTGTAAAATCAGGTTTGTAGGAGTCTAGAGAACAATATAATCATGGCTGAGAGAGCACTCTGGAGCCTGACTGGCTATGTTCAAGTTCTTGTTTAACCGCTTCTCATCTGTGTGAAACACTGGGCAAGTTAGTTAACCTCTTTGTGACTCAATTTCCTCATATTTAAAGTGAGGGCTCAGAGGGCTGTTTGAGGATTAGATGAATTAATACATATGAAGGAGCTGAAATAATGCCCAGGATACAGTAAACACTCAATAAATCCTCACATTTCTATTTGTATTTTTATTATACTGTAACCTCTCTTTTTAGGATAGAAAGACATCATTAGTTTAAGAATTAGTTAGCTAAACTTACTGAGGTAATCATTTCACTATAAATATCAAACCATCATGTTGTGCACCTAAAACTAATAAAATGTTATGTGTCAGCATTTCAATGAAACCGGATAAAAAATAAGCATTAGTTAACTCCAAGAGGAAACAAGTGATCACTTAAGGACTGATAGCTTGAGTTCTTTTAGTCACACGGGTTTGCCAACTAGAGACAGACATTATCAGTGTTTTCTAGGAGTTGTTCACGATAAAGCAGCACAGCCCTTGACTGATCAGTGAGGAAGGGATTCCCCACGTTAATGTCCCTGCTTTTAGCACAGTACATGCCCGCAAAAGTGACTTACCTCCTCATCCAGACTCCCGCCCCAGGGTTGACGGCTCTCGCCAGCTTCCTTTGCCGGGACTGCTGAGGGCTCCTGCTTCTCTGTGCTTCCCTCAAGCCCTTCAGTGCCCGCAGGCTTCTGGCTAGGCTGCTCCTGAGCTTGCCGTTCTGCCCTCGACCGGCTGAATGTCCTTTCTGCTTCTTGAAGGTCCGTTAGTGTCACGCCCTGGGAAAACAGCACAAGGTCGGGGAAGTTTCACTCTAACCAAGGAATAACTCTTAATAAATGAGCAGGGAAACCGCCTTAAAGATCTGGTAGTACCAAAGTCCAGTATCAAAGCTCCACAAATGCATGAGGCCATTTCAAGCAAGATATGCTTAAAAATGAACACCTCAGTGTGCAAAGAGCCCAGCCTGAGTCTAGGTACCTTTCAAATGCAATACTTAGCTTTCCACTTTGAGTTCCAGGAAACAGGGCAACATTGATGCCCGTCTGTTGTAGATGTACTTCTCTCATACCCCTAGTTTGCAACATCTTTGTTTGAAAGCTCCATACCCTCCCAAGAGAAAATAGTTATCAAGAGAGATTCTCTGAAGAGCAGATACTAGAAAAACTTAATTTTACTTATGGGAAGAAAAACCAGCTCCAAAAAGGTGAAAGTTCAGAGCCAGGCTAGAACAACAACAAAAGCCAGCCAACCAAAAACATGACACGACCTAAACTAGCTTTACTCTAAGATGATTTTCTAAGTAACTCTAGGAACATCACACAGAAACTTTCCAATAACTGATATTTCCCTCAGGCTCTCAGGAGCAGCCATACGGAAGAAAAGCAATTAGGAGGCATCTGTAGAAAAAGGGAGAAAGAGAGTAAGGACCAGAGTGAACAGATTCTAACTCAAGCAGTTATATGCTCAAGTCCTCAGGAGATGGGAGTTCTAAAGCTGGAAGGTAGTTGAGCAGGTACTATATCCACAACTTGTTTGTTTGTTTTTAAACTAATCATGAATTTAGTCACTCACTCTCTTAATAAATTACTAAGTGTCTTTAAGCACTGGAACTATAAAGACAAAATGATTCCTGTACGCAAGAACCTTTTAATCTAGTGGAAAAGACATAAGAAAGCAGTTGGGTATAATGGAATGTAAGGTTTAAGACAGAATATATGATCCACCAAATTCCGTTTCTGAGAATTTACTCAAAAGAACTGAAAGCAGGGTCTCAGAGAGATCATTTGTTTGCCCACGTTCATAGCGGTATTATTCACAACATACAAACGGTGGAAGCAACTGAAGTGTCCACCGGCAGACGAGTGAATAAACAAAATGTGGTATATACAGAGGAATATCATTCATCCTTAAAAAAGAATGAAATACTGATACATATGCCACAACTTGAATGAACCTAGAAGACATTATGCTAAGTGAAATAAGCCAGCCACCAAAGGACAAACACTGGATGATGCCACTTGTATGAAGTACTTAGATTAGTAAATTCATAGACATAAGAAGTAGGATGGTGGCTGCCAGAAGCTGGGGGGAGAGATGGAATTATTGTTGAATGGGTATGGAGTTTCAGTTTGGGAAGATAAGAAATGTACTGGAGACAGACGGTGGTAACAGTTGCAAAATAATGTGAATTACTTAATGCCACTGAACCACACACTTGAAAAATGGTTAAAGTGGTAAATTGTATGTTATGTATATTTTACCACAAGAAACTAAACCGAAACAAAAAAATTATAGTCAGTCTTGGTCCTCATGGAGGTTATATTCCAAGAGGGGAAAACAGAGAAATAATAATCAAGCAAAAATAAAACAACAGCTGTCATAATTACTATAAAGGAAGGATACTTAGCCTATTTGGGGAAGGTCAGGGAAGACAAGGGTACCTTTGTGGCTATTTATAAAGAACCCTTTTCAGTCCTCAGCTTTCTTACTTGACCTCTGTAGTATTTAAAACTGTTACCTTCACCTTTTACCTGGAAACTGACTTTCTCTCTCTCTCTCTCTCTTTCTTTCTTTCTTTCTTTCTTTTTTTTTTTTTGAGAGAGTGCTAGCAGGGGACGGGCAGAGAGAAAGGGAGACAAAGAATCCAAAACAAGTTCCGCGCTGTCAGCACAAAGCCCGACATGGGCTCGAAGCCACCAATGGCAAGATCATGACCTGAGCTGAAGTCAGATGCTCAACCGACTGAGCCACCCAGGGGCCCCTGGAAACTGACTTTTCATTTACTTCTATACCGTTACTACTTCCTGGTTTACTTTCATCTCTCTGGTGGCTGCTCCTTTTAATTGTGCTTCATCAGCTCATCGTCCTCTGCCTCCTTAATGCCAATTCACAGCTTTCTCTCCCTTCTCCTCACCACTGCATACTGCGTTCAAGGTCTTGGTACTCCCAGCTTGGACTACTGTAATAGTTTCCTAACCGGTCTTCTAGTTTCCTGGCTTCACAAACATACTTTTGCCTACCACTCCCATCAGTTCTCTGCATGGTGGACTTCCACAAAATATAACACAGATTATATCGGACTCTTCCCTACTACAATGGCTCCCTTAGGAATTTTTTTTCTTTTAAAAACATCTTTATTGGAACAAACTCACATATCATAAAACCCACCGTTTAAAAGTACAGGCATACCTCAGAGATATTGAGGGTTTGATTCCAGACCACTGTGGTAAAGGGAGTATCACAATACAGCCAGTCAAACAAATTTTCTGGTTTCTCGGTGCATATAAAAGTTATGTTTACACTATGTTGTGGTCTGTTAATTGTGCAACAGCATTATGTTCAAAAAACGATGTATATACCTTAATTAAAAAATACTTTACTGCTAAAAAAATGCTAACAATCATCTGAGCTTTTCAGTGAGTCATAATCTTTTTGCTGGTGGAGGGTCATGCCTTTATGTTAACGGCTGCTCACTGATCAGGGTGGCCGTGGCAATTTCTTACAATACGACAACAATGAAGGAAATGTGCTGCGTGGGTTGACTCTTGCTTTCATGAACAATTTTTCTGTAGCATGCGATACTGTTTGATAGCATCTTACTCACAGTAGAACTGCTTTCAAAATTGGACTCAATCCTCTCAAACCCTGCCACTGCTTTATCGACTAAGCTTAGATAGTATCCTAAATCCTTTGTTGTCATTTCAATAATCTTCACGGCATCTTCACCAGGAGTAGATTCCATCTCAAGAAACAACTTTTTTCGCTCACCCATAAGAAGCAACTCCTCATCTGTTCAAGTTTTATCATGAGATCACAGCCATTCATCCTGTCTTCAGGCTGCACAGCTAACTCTAGTTCTCTTGCTATTTCCACATCTGCAGTTATGCATCCCACTGAACTCTGAACTTTCAATTTGTGTGTGTGTGTATATGTATATATATGTATATATGTATACACACACACACACACACACACACACACACACATATATAGACAGTACCTGCAAAGTGCAATAAAATGAGGTCTGCCTGTATACAAGGCAGTGATTTTTAGCATATTCACAGACTTGTACAACCATCATCACCATCTCATTTCGGAACATTTTACCACCCCAGAAAGAAACTCCACGTTCATCAGCAGCCCCTCCCCATCCCTCCTTCTCTCTCACCCCTGGCAACCACTAATCTATTTTCTCTTTCTCTGGCTTTGCCTATTCTGGGTATTTTCATATAAATGGAATCATGTCTGGTTTCTTTCACTTAACATAAGGTTTTCTTAAGGTTCACGCACATTGTAGCATTAACATGTATGAGTACTTCATTTCTTTCTATTGCCAAATAATATTCTACTGTATGAATATATAACATTTCGTTTACCCGTTTCTCTGTTAAGGGAAATTTGTATTCTTTTTTTCTCCAGTTATGTTAACTGCTTAATTTATCTGGTCTGCTCAAAGGTTCAGCTTGTGCCCACTACCACTATGCCTGCTAAGGAGAGCTGAGGCACAACCAGCCACACAATGCTAAACCTTGCTGCAGCTGGGAGCCCAGGACTCAACTCTACAGCAAGCCTGCAAGCTCCACACATGGAGTTTGGTATGCGTAGCAAGTTAACTCTACCCAGAGTTCAGAGATGACCCTAAATTTGGGATTTGGGCTACTGTGAATAATGCTGTTATAAACATCTATGTACAAGTTTTTGTGTGGACATATGTTTTCATTTTCCTTGAGTAGATACCTAAGAGTAGAATTGCTACATTGTATGGTATCTGTATATATAACATTTTGAGGAAGTGCCAAACTGTTCTCCTTTAGGGATCTTAAGATGTGGGTGGCCCCTTAAGCACAAATGGAATGATGAGTCTTGTGAAGGAAAGGAGATAAACCTGCTCTGAACCTGGAGATATAAAAGTGAGAGTGGGTAGGTGTAGCTATAACTTCATCTGATACCACGTAGTGTAAGATTTAAGACAGGTGAAAACTTTTACTACAGTGGCTGGAATAAGGCTCTCATCTTACTGTTTTTTCATCATAGCTCCAACAGAAAGGAAGATAGACAAAATGACATAAAAAAGAAGGTCACACTCACTTGAGTAGACCTTCGAGTCTGCCGAGCTTGTCTGGAGCGTGCTTTCCGTAAAGATTCTGCTTCCTCATCCCGTACAGGAGTCAGATATGACCTGCAAAGAAAAAAAGTAATACCAGAAGTAAGATCTTTGCTACCTGTACTTGAGGAATGACAAGGGACTTCCACATACTGAAGTGATTTCTACACTCTAGGAATGAATTTGGGCAGAATCAAAATGATAGAAACGCTATCAGTGAAAATGGCATAATCCAACACATTACTTTTATTTATTTATTTATTTTTTTAAATTTGTTTTTCAACGTTTATTTATTTTTGGGACAGAGAGAGACAGAGCATGAACGGGCGAGGGGCAGAGAGAGAGGGAGACACAGAATCGGAAACAGGCTCCAGGCTCTGAGCCATCAGCCCAGAGCCCGACGCGGGGCTCGAACTCACGGACCGCGAGATCGTGACCTGGCTGAAGTCGGACGCTTAACCGACTGCGCCACCCAGGCGCCCCAACACATTACTTTTAAATGTATTACTTTTCATGCAGAATCATGTCATCTGTGAAATGAGAATTTCATTTCTTCTTTCCCTACCCTTACAATTTTTATTTCTTTTCTTGATTTAATGCTCTGGCCAGAACCTCCAGGACATGTTGAAAAGGAGTAATGATAGTAAGTTTCCATGCTTTGTTCCTGCCTTCAGAGAGAAAAAGCATTCAGCATTTTATTATTGTGATGTCTAAGATTTCTGTAGACACTGCTTCTCAATTGAGAAGTTAATTATTTTTTAATCATTAGTGTGTGTCAAACTTATCACATGTGTTTCTCCCCCATATATTGAGATTATTATCATTTTCCTTCTTTTTTTGTTACTAAGGTGAATCACATTGAATAATTTTTGAATGATAAAATAACCTTGAATTCTTAGGATAAGCTCAACTTGGCCATGATCCATCATATTTTTTTTAAGAAATATTTAATTTATTTTACTATTTTTTTAAAGTAAGCTCTATGTCCAATTTGGGACTTGAACTCACAGCCTTGAGATCAAGAATCACATGTTCTATCGAATGAGTCAGCCAGGTACCCAGGTACCCCTATATAGATTGACTTTTATATAAAGTCAGTATTATTTAATTTAGGATTTCTCCATCCCTGTTTATTAGAGAAATTGGTCTATAATTTTCCCTTCTTATAACAACTGGGCAAGTCTGGAAATTAAGGTTATAAAAGTTAAGAAGTGTTTTCTCCTTGTCGATTTTCTATAAGAATTTATGTAAGATTAGGGTTGTTTCCTCCTGGAATAATTAGTAAAGTGCACAATGAAGACATCTGGATTTTAAGTGTTCTTTAAAAAAATTTTTTTTAACATTTATTTATTTTTGAGAGACAGAGCATGAGCGGGGGAGGGGAAGACAGAGAGGGAGACACAATCCCAAGCAGGCTCCAGGCTCCAAGCTGTCAGCAGAGCCTGATGTGGGGCTCGAACTCACCAACCATGAGATCATGACCCTAGCTGAAGTCAGATGCTCAACCGACTGAGCCACCCAGGCGCCCCTTAAGTGTTCCTTATGGGAGGGTTTTAAATGAGGGATTCAATTTCTTTGATTGATTTAGTTAGGCCTAGTCAGATGTTCTGTTTTGGTAGTATTTGTTTTTCAAAGAACTTTATATTTTTACATTTAGTGGCACAAAATTGTTCATAAAATTCTTATAGTATATTTAAAACATTTTTTTTAATGTTTATTTTTGAAGCAGAGAGAGACAGAGAGTGAGTGGGGGAGGAGCATAAGACAGGGAGACAGAAACTGAAGCAGGCTCCAGGCTCTGAGCTGTCAGCACAGAGCCTGACATGGGGCTCGAACCCACGAACCATGAGATCATGACCTGAGCTGAAGTTGGACACTTAACCAACTGAGCCACCCAGGTGCCCCAATTCTTATAGTATATTTTAATTGTCATTTTAGTATCTGTAGCAATGATTCTCAAATTCTTTGGTCTCAGAACCCTTTTACATTTTTAAAAATTACTGAGGACCCCCGAAGAACTTTTGTTTATGTGTATCTTTTAATATTTACCTTAGCAGAAATTTAAAAAATATGCACTTAGTATTTAAAAATAATCAGCCCTATTACAAAAAGTTACATCAATAACTTATCGTTTATGAAAAATAACTGTATTTTCTAAAACAAAAAAATTTAGCAAGAGTCTTTATTTCATTTTTATAAATTTTCTTTAGTGCTAGCTTAATAGGAGATAGCTGGATTTTCATACATGCTTCATTCAATATGTTGCAATATGGTGTTTCAGTTAAAATATATAAAGAATATACAGTCTTGCACAGGTTTGTAGTTGGAAAAGGAAGGAGTATTATAATAGCTGGTAATTATGGACATTTTTCCTTGATACTATACCAAAACTGAAGTGGTAGTTTCTTAAAGATTAGCAACAATGTGGAATCTGAAACCATGTTAATTTATTGGTCTATTGGTCTATCTTGCACTTTGAATGGACCTTCTTACCCATGCATGACTTCGAGTTATTGTACACTGGTCCTTTGGAAAACATTGGTGCAGATCTTCCAAATGGTGACACATTTCATTACAGAATAATAATTTTATAAGTCACATTCGGTAACATAGGGGGTAAGTTCCTTGACGTTGGCCTTGGCAATGATTTTTTTGGATTTGATACCAAAAGCAAAGGCAACAAAAGCAAAAATAAATAAGTAGGACTATATCAAACTAAAAACCTTCTGCACAGCAAAGCAAACCATCAACAAAATGAAACGGCAACTTACAGAATGGAAGAAACTATTGGCAAATCATATATCTGAAAAGGGATTACTATCCCAAATAAAGAACTCATACAAATCAAGAGGGGGAGAAAAATCTGATCTCACATGTGAAATATTAAAAAAAAAAAAAACAACAACCTCATAGATATGGAGAACTGATTTGTAGTTAACAGAGGCAGGGAGTAGAAGGTGGGCAAAGTAGGTGAACATGCTCAAAAGGTACAAACTTTCGTTTATAAGATTAGTAAGTCCTGGGTATATACAGTATGGTGACTATAATTTACAATGCCATATTATGTATTTGAAAATTGTTAAGAGAGTAATTTTAAAAGTTCTTATCATGAGGAAAAAATTGTAATTATGTGTGATGATGGATGTTAACTACACTTAGTTGTAATCATTTTATATTTATTAAATTACTAAGTTTTACACCTAAAACTAATACAATGTTATATGTCAATTATATCTCAATAAAAATAATGGAAAAATAAAACATAAAAAATCATTCTTTAATATCACCTTTAATATTTTATTAAAAATTTTTTTTAAATTATTTTATTTTTTTAGAGGGGAGGGTAGAGGGGGAGAGAGAGAAAATCTTAAGCAGGCTCCATGCTCAGGAGGAGCCCGGCACAGGGCTCGATCCCATGACCCTGAGATTATGACCTGAGCCAAAATCAAGACCTGGAAGCTCAACCGACTGAGCCACCCAGGTGCCCCCACCTTTGAACTTAAGACAGTCTTTAAATATTGGGAAGCAGCAGTCAATAATACCACTCATAATGGGCAGACACAAGTTACCAAAATTCTAATTTCTGCTTGAAATTTAAAGTTTTATAGTTGGCAACAAATACTTTGTGACAGTCTCACTTTGTTCATTTTCAAGAAAATGTCTGCTGAATACCCAAGTCTGGAAAACCATAGCCTTCCCAGTCATTCTTTCAAGTAAAAATGGTATTCCAGGATAAAAGTAGTCAGTTCTTTTTTCTTCCTCTGGACTCCAATTATAAATACGTTAGATCTTACTGGCCATGATCTATTCATTTATTTTGCTTTTTCTGTATTTCCCATCCTTTTCTCTCTCTGGGTTTCATTCTGGATATGTATTTCTTTTTTAAAGTTTTATTTATTTAAATTGTTTCTAGACGCAATGTAGGGCTTGAACTCACAACCCTGAGAACAAGAGTAACACACTCTTTCAACGGAGCCAGCCAAGTGCCCCCATTCTGGATATTTTCTACTGTTTATCTAACTAGTTCACTAATTACCTCTTCAGCTGGTCTACTATAAATTTACCAGTTGAGTTTCTAATTCCAATTATTAAATTTTCAGTTCTAGAATTTCTACTTGATTCTTTTTAAAACAGATTACAGTTCTTTCTTGAAATTTCCCATCTTCTTTTTTCTTAACAATATTAACCATAGTTAGTTTAAAGTCCATGTCTGATAACATCAATATCTGGATCTTTTGTTATTGTTTATTTTTCTTAGTCTTTTGGTAAATCAGTCTTTTGGTAAATTTGGTATGTCTGCTAATTTCTGAATTAATGCCAAATATTTTTTAAAATATTTGAATACATGTCTTTATAAGGAAAATTATAAGTGCGGGAAGTTGCCTTCTGGACCATTTTCACATTATCTGAGAGATGCAGTTTAAACAATAAAAAATATAGTATTTATCACATTTATTATTTTTATTTGAGAGACAGAGAAAGAGGAGCACATGAGTGGGGGAGAGGGTGAGGGAGGAGGAGAGAGGGGGGAGAGGGAGAGAGAGAGAGAGAGAAAGAGAGAGAGAGAGAGAGAGAGAGAGAGAGAGAGAGAGAAACTCAAGCAGGCTCCACTCTGAGCATGGAGGAGACTCAATCCCACAACCCGGGGATCATGACCTAAGCAGAAATCAAGAGTCAGACCCTCAACTGACTGAGCCACCCAGTATTTATCACATTTAATGCTGAACCCATCACTCCTCAGAAACTGAGAGTCCAGCAAGGTTGAGTATAACAGTCAAACACCTTTAATGAAAAATGTAGTGATAACTTGCAGCTCTGAAAGATGTCATCCTCCAGAGAGGATATTCTTTTCCTCTGGCAGTTAGGTTAAGGAAGTGATTCTCAAACTTTCATCTACATCAGAATTATTTAGGGGGTTTGTGAAATACAAATTGCTAGGCTCTACCCCTAAAAGTCCTGTTTCAGTAGGTCTGGAGTAGGGGCCGAGAATTTGCATTTCTAGTTAGATTTCCGTGATGCTTCTGACATCACACTTTGAGAACTACAGGGCCAAGACAAGTGACCTTAATCTACTT